GCATTTCGATAAAGAATGGGATGTTTATTTTAGCAACAGAAAAAGATTTATACCGTATCTTTTTTGAACTTTCAAATGGTTGATATTATGAGGTTTAATATGACAAACTTATTTTCTAGTAATTCTTTTGTTCGTTATTAGAGTTGTAATCAAAATGCAATGTTTTATGGGAAATCTTTGCCATTAAAAATAAAAGTGTACCAGAAAATGTCTCAACAACAACGTTATCACTTTTATTTATTATTCGTTGTTATGATTTCTTGGATTTATGAGACGTTCGAGATAACCCAAAAGAAATATCCTTTATATTCATTCCCAAGTAAAGTTAATTTGTAAATTTATTAATTTTCGCAAATTTGTGAATAAAAATAATAACAAATCGCCAAATCATACTGGCGCTTGCTTTTTTTTTTTTTATTAAAAAAAAAAAAAAAAAAAAAAAAAAAAGATAAATATATTTTTCATTGCGTCATTTTAGGAATTCTCTAACCTAAAGTTGTATATGAACCAAGAAGACGGGATATACATTAATTATTATGACTAATACCATGCTTAACATTTTATAAGAATGTTCAATCATGTTTCGCACAAGTTTACAGCACTACAACTTTCACTCTCCCCTCTATATAGCCTGTTTCACTGGTCCAAGTGAGAATTTTTGCATCTCCATACGTAACAATTTTTTTGTCCCTTCTTATTTCTGTTAATTAACCAACTTCTTGTTTAAACGCGAATTATTTTTCACGTTCTTAATTTTTTTTTTTTTTTTAAAAAAAAATCTTTTATTTTTAGAAAGAAAAAAAATAATGAAATGACAAAATGTTAAAAAAAAAAAAAAAACATCATAATCATCATGAATCAAAAATTTGTTGTATAGAAAATCTAAATTTTCTTAATACAAATTCCATAAGATCTAACATCACCACCATTAGGAGAAATCCAATATTCACCAGAACCAGTTTCTTGAGCGGTAATTCTTTGCAAAGTATTAGGATTCACACGATTTTGAAATAAAACGGCGTAATTCTGACCATTATGAACAAATTTAGTTGCATACTTGATGGCAACATTTACATCAGGAATGGAATAAATTCCATGAGAGAAATTAAAATTTCTATTTCTACCATAATTAAAACCATCTTCGGCAATTGTATTATTATTATGACGAGAAGTTCCATGATATGATACGGGCCATTCATTTTGAACAGAATCAGTACCACCACGTTTAGAACGCATTCCAAGCCAAACATTGTCACCATACTTATTGAGTACTTTAAGTGCGATACGTTTCCAACCGTAAGGTCGCTTATATTCAATTCCACCTCTCATATACGTTTTACCTTTGTCACGTATTTCAGTAAAATCAAAATCAAATGGAGGGTCGAGATGATCCGAATGAATATAAAAAATTTCATCACCACCTCTTTGTCTCAAGATCAGAAATACCTCCGCATTCTCTAGAATCTCGTAACTAATCACACTCCTGCCATCATCTAATAAATACCCTTGAAATAAAAGACGTTGCGATTCGGGAAGTATTCCTTGTTCATCTTGAACTTTTTGTTTAACTTGATAAATGGTGGTTGTCGGTTTCACTTTTATCTTGAAGGCTTTGCCGCTCAAAGGTTTAATCGAGATGATCATTTCATCACCATTGTCAGGACTTCCTTGTGGTAAATTTTGAGTATTATCGTTATTTGGAACTGGCCCACCAACTAAATGAGATTGATGTAGTGCGTCCGTGTCCAATTCTTTGTATGTAACGTTTCCTGATTTACGATTTATATAATCTTGAAGGGTTATAACTTGATTTTTTGATACCGCCGACATGGCAGCTGCAAGAATTATTGCATTTGGTGAGGCCATAATTTAATATAATTATTATTATTTTTTTTTATGGTTTAAAACAAAGAAAAGAAAAAGGAAAAAAAAAAAAAATTAAAATAAAAATCAAAAAAATTTCGTGGGCTTTTTTAAGAAAAAATTCCGGAGAGAGTCACATATATCTCCGGTCAGATGGTTGATGTTATTGTTTGTTAAATAAGGAGCCTTAAAATTGATTTTTTTTGGGTTAGGCATGCAATTTTATTACCAAAACATGTTGTCACACAACAGATCCGACATTCATATGATGTTATATATCAATGTTCTGTTAAAAAAAAACACACTTTCATTGATATCGTTTTAAAAAAACTTTCAAATACTTGACACGCAATTTGATTTTCAAACGGAAACCTAGCTTTTATATAAAGGAAACATGTGCATATAGATAAAAAAAATATTTTGAAGAGATTATTATCCAGTAATAATTGGTCCTTCCTTTCCCAATCACGGATTCTTAGAAATATTTGTTTTTCGAGGCAGGGAAACTAGAGATTTCTCGATTTCCTGTGCTTCATCTATAGGATTGTCAGTAGGGTTATCATACCGTATATTGGACTTTTTGGCGAAGTGATTGGATATGATAATATGAGAAATACTTTTTCGTTTGCGAGGTCATATGCCACATAAATTCAGGATTGAATACGGAATTGTACCGAAATCAAAGCTAAGATACAAAATAATGAAATAATTTAAACGATTTATTATGATTCAATGTGTAGTAAACAAAACCTATATGAGGACAAAAAGAAGGTTGAAAGTGTAAAATAGTATTTTTATTAAACCGTAGAGTTCTAATTCTAATCCTTAAGTTACACTTCTTTTTATAAACTAATACTAAAATTGCGCCTTCCTACATTAATAAATAAGTTACAAAGTTGATAAAATTTTCGTGTATAATTTTCAAGATAATCGACGCAGTAATGCGACTAATGAGGCGCGGCAAAATTTAGCGGTCCATGATAGGATTAGGAAGTTTAATTAAAGGTTTGGATGTTTGCAATAGTACTTTCAAGGTGATCGCTAGCATTTTCCGGCTTCTTCAATAACCTGTGTAGCTTTGCCTGGCTTTCTACTCGGAAATTCGTTGATTTAATAATTAATAGTTATGATGCCATATGGATAAAATTATTTATAAACTGTAAAGGAGAATTTGTTTGATTTTCAGATCGATTTAAATCAGAATAAAAAAATCGTTTTTGTATTTATGAGGTCAAGATGGTAGTGGAGATGGTAAAAAATTTTAAATGATATAACTGTGATTATCCCATCGGTATTATGTATAAACCGATGGATTTTTTTGTCAATTACTCCACATGATATATTTGTATTAATACAACAATTAAGAAATACATGTTATATATTCAACTTATGGTGTAGGTCATCTAAAAGGCAAACAACCCGAATTTTTTTTTGCCGATCACAGACCTATCACGTGATATTTATCCAATTAAAAATAATCACGTGAATTAAAATTGTCACATGATTAAATATCAAATCATTAATTTATTGAGTTTAATTTATTAAATTTTTTGTATTAAAAATAAATGAAATTTATTAATTTATTTTATTTAATTTCTCTAATACATTTTCAGGAATTTTTCTATGTGATTTGTATTTTTTAAAAGCATATTCTACTAATTTACCTGTAATTCCATACCTATATAAATCTATATATCGTCATATTTTTCTTGCAAATCTACAAATAGTTATTAAATCTACAGAATCTAAGATATAAAAAACTATTTTTTGTAATCACTCTATGTGTAATCACAATTATTTTGTGTATATCATTTTGCTGCTCTCTAATGGCGTTCAATGAAATTCAATTTATAATAAAACTTTAAAAAATTCATAATTTGTCTTTCATTATTTAGACTCTAAAAAGTATTATGCTTTTTTGATACATTTTCATTAGATTTGATATTCATCCTCTTTACAATTAATGCATCAGAAGTAAATGCAAAATGATTTGAATTATTATTAAAAGTAAATATTCTAATACAATTTGAAAATAAAACTTCAAATATAAAAATGGCTTTATATTCAACCTGTTTGATAAGATGTTTAGCTGTCCAATATTCTTCATCATTTTTTCTCAGTTTTAAATATACTTGTACTTCTTTTGGAATATCAAGGTAATTCTCAATTTACTCAGCAGTTCATTTAAGTTTTTCATAAGCTTCAGTTAAAAATTTGCTTACCATAATTAATTTTTCGTTGCCTTTTTTGCATAATGGTAACTCACCTGATTTAGCTTATATCATACATTTTTCATTATTTGAGTAGAAAATAAATTTATTATGAACTATTAATATTTGCTATTTCTCTTCTAAAGTTAATAAAGAAGCAATTTTTTCCATATTATTTCCTTTATATATTGCCATATATTTTTCAAGTTTAGCCATTTTTGACAAAAATACTTTTTGATATTTTACAATATCTTCTCTCTCTCATATTCATCATAATATATTCCTTATTTTTATTGTTGATAATAATATTTAAGCATATTTAACTATCGTCTTGCAGTATTTATACTAATCACATTTTTATTAATACCTACTTTCAGTAATAATATATTCTAAACAAACTTCTTAAACTGATATAAAATTGTATGACTTTCATTTTCTCGAATCCATTTATAACATATTTTAGCAATATCTTCATCATCAATAATTCTACTAATCTTTTGATGTTTTCTCTGATAATACTTGTCTTCATTTTTTCTCTCTTTTTAATAATTGTATAAGATATTCAAATATAGCCCTTTTCTTAACATATTCTTTTGCCAACATTCTGTTAAAGTTTCTTTTAGATCTTTTTTCCAAATTTAAAACCATATCTTCTGATAGCCAAACATATATAGAGGCTTCTTTTTCATCTGATGAAATATCTTAAGGACTTTCTTGCATCAATTCATCTTGCTGACTAAAAAAACTTTCTAATTTTCAGGTTCCCTTTGCTACTTCTGTTCACGAACTATTAGGCCCCCATTTATCATAATAAGTTGACTTTGGTATCTTATCTACTTTATAAGGACCACATTTTTCCTTTTCTAATTTAGTATTCGGTCTCTATTTTAATCCAAAATCCATCTTCAACAATCTATTCAGTATATCTTATTCTTCCTCCAAATCGATATCATTTTTCCAATCATTCACCTTATTATTTTCCCAATACTTTTCACTAAAAGTATCATCTAACTCCATTTTTAATTGTTCTCCTAACATAACTACTTCTGTATCACTCTCAATTTTAAAATAAAAATAAATTTATTTAAATAACTTATCATTTCTTATAAATGAGTTAAACAATTTATAAACTTACTCAAATCCTGTACCAAATTTTCCTTTCTTATTCCAGTTTGTGTTTTTCAATGTGGCTTTTCTTTTGTTAGGCTGAGGCATGCTTGGAAATGTTTAAAATTTAACGGTAAAAAATAAAAAAAAAGTCCATCATCATCATCGTGTTATAAATTTCATGCGAGTGCATTCATTTTATTGGACAAAATCGATGTCACATGATAAATTGCATGTCTAAAATTTAAGTATTTTATAAGAAAATCGTCAATTTTCAAATGCCTAAGGCTCAAAAATTTTCTAATCAACTAAAGATTTGAAACCATAACTTTTATTCTCTATTGTCTATACTATCATTATTACAGATTTTTTTTTTTATATCATGTAAAACAAAAGTCTTAGGATTTTGAAGTTGGACGATTTTATTTCTATTTATAGATAACCTGCACCATACTAGTATGAATATGTGAAAATGTACATCTTTTAACAGTGTTTGGAATTGTTCTATACATGTATATTCAATTTGAACTTTTTCTTTTTTTCGCGCGTAAATTAGAAATGCTTGCCGTTTCTTAGCTTGTAATATAAATTAAACTGAAGAACATAAATATAAATATTGTATCTTTTTTTTTATATGTTACATTTTTACAAGGTTTAATTGATTCTTCATTTATAATAGTTATGCACAGATCCTGTTTCGTAATTTACGCCATTTAACTTCTTTAGACATGTAATAAACCTAAAAATTATCTTCAGAAAAAAAAGAAAATGTATATGGACAAAAAATCCATCGGTGTATACGTCATACACAATGAGATAAGCCTGTTATTCCATACTTCGTTACGGATTACTTAGATTATTCAGAGTTAATATGATAATCACATGCACTTACGCGCATGTGATTTATATATGTAACTCGTGAATAACCTAGCTATCCTTCACTACGTATGGAATAACAAGTATTTACCCTCTATCTGGAAGAATCAGAGAAGCTTTACCTGAATTATTTGATGTAGTCTTGGATGAAAGGGATGAACAAAATCTGGCTGAAATGGAAGAACAAAAAGCTGGTAATAATGACGAGTTAAATATTGAGAATGTGACTGTTTCATCATATCAACAAGTTACTTTTAAGAACTATTGATAATTACCAAGGTGAAGAAGCAAACATAGTCATTATTTCTTTAGTTCGTAGTTTCTCCCTTGGATTCTTAAAAAGCACGAATCGAATTAATGTATTATTGTCACGTGCACGGGAAGGCATGTATCTTATTGTTAATACTGAATTAATGGAAACAAGATCCAACGATATGTGGGCTTCAATAATTAATATACTACGAAAGCGAAATCTTCCACAAATTGGTTTTGGTATGCCAATTGAATGTAATAAGCATCCTGAATGCAAGAATGTAATTGTCGAACCCGAACAATTTGAATTGATCAGTCCGAAAGGGGGATGAATATTTTAGAAAGTTGAATATTTTCTTATCATTTTATATAATTTATTATTTTGTGCTAAATTTCATTTCAGTTATGTCATGCAAAACTTTCCTGTAGACACGCGTGTACTATTTTGTGTCATACAGATGATCCTCAACATCTTGGAACCAAATGTCTTAAACCCTGCCCGAGATCACATCCAGTATGTTATCATCCATGTCCAAAGATTTGTTATGAAGATTGCGGACAATGTAATTTTCCCATTGGTGATATTATTTTACCTGGTTGTGGTCACGTGATTAAGAATGCAACATGTTGGCAAAATCAAAAGATGTTCTCAGATGTAAAACTCCAGTCCAAACACGATTAATCAGTTGTGAATAATCAAAAATCATTTGCGTAAGTTTTTTTTTTCTTAATCATTAATTATTTAAATTTTTATAATAATTAAATTTTATTTGAATTTGTAGTGTTATAAGTCTGTTGAAAACGTTAAATGTGATAATATATGCGGAAAAGTTTTAGAATGTAAACATAAATGATTAAATCAATGTTTTATATGTCAAAAGCTTTTTAAACCACGAGATGAAAACAAAGTGAATGATAGAATCTTCCCTATTATAAGAACAAATCATGGCAATTGTAAAGAATATTGTAATAGATTGTTATTTTGTGGACATAAATATTAAAAGTATTGTCATGAAGGGAGCGAATGTCCACCATGTGTGTGCTAAATGTACAGTAACATTCAAACACGAAGATGTAAATTAAGTTGTGGAGTTCCTTATTATAGATTGCCTTGTAACAAATAGTTGAAATGTGGACATGATTGTTCTGGAGTTTGTGACGAAATATGCCCATCAAAAGATTTTTGCATTATTTGTGCCCCAGAACATGTTAAAAGACAAGGTATTTTAATTTTATAGGTTGGGTTTTTTTTTTATTATATTATTAGGGAACAGAAACCGTTGTGCGTCCAAAGCGTTTGCATCAATCATTTAATATCAGAAAAAAAACTCTATACACTAATTTTGTATGATTTAAGTAATACTGATTTTTATTATTATCATCTGATCATGAAATATTGATTGTTACACTTGATCCCAAAATTTGATTGGTCATTTTCACATAGTGACAGACTGGTCTTGAGTTTACATAATATTTCTCTACTACGCTTCAGACAATTATTGTTATCTCTATTTCTGAATAATTTGTTTTTAAAACAGAATCGGATGCAATTAAGAAGATTTTATTTAGTAAGGTGAATTGGAAGAAGAAAAGAATGATTGTTCTTTCTTGTGGACATGTATTTACTAAGGAAACTATGGATATGCACATGGGTATGGAAGTTTATCATGAAAGCGAAGGCATATTCGAGAGAAAATGGACATCAATTAAAATCCTTCCGGCATTAACAACAAATGTAAAAAAATGTCTAAGATAATTAACAAAATACGTTATGGACGCACAAAACAGAAAATTCCTAAGTAATGTTACTAAACGAATAATTTCACTTGAGGATAATATGAAAGATAAGAAGAAATTATTATATGGTTTAAGTCATTTACCTGCTGATGATTCAAGATTAAACGAAATTACGTATGAAGAGCCTAGCAATATACTGTATACGAGATTATATCTTATAAATATTATGAAAAGGTTGGAAAATATCATGGATTTGATAAATTCAGTAAAATAATTTGACTTGATCATGTACAGTGGCGATCAAAAATAACGCATCACCTAAATGAAAATATTTAAATAAAAATAACTTTTCATATAATGCTC